GCAATCTAACTCAGAGAGAGCAAGACCTTACATTGGACAAGTACTTATGAAAATGTTCCTTCCCAATCACATAATGATAAATGATAATCCTTCCATTTGATACAGCGCCTTATCACGTCTTCGAGATGTCTCAAAGCGCTTCACGGAATATACTGTAAAGTGAATTTACTGTATATTTTGTAGGTGAAATCCCACAAAATTGGGTTTTGTGCGGCAACGGTAACCTCAACAAGGAATCCGGTTATAAATGGTCAGATGCGGAAGGTACTCGACAAGTTTGGAAAAGACTGGATTTCACCATTCACAACCTATCTTTTTCGAATTTGATGCACGTCTATTAAAGGATTTTGACTCGCATTCCTCGAGGTTCCTGACAAAGCCAGCTGGTCCCGCTTACACCCAGGAATGCGATCAACTGCTTTCAGAATTTCCTGACTACAGCTGGCAGGTGAGAGACGACAGCTACCAAGATTGAAAAGTAAAAGCCACTGGCACATGGAGAAGACAACTGCTTCAATCCACATTGGGACAACAGGCAAACTCTTGGGTCTCACCATTTCCAGCTTGTGTATTTCAGCTGATTTCATACTGGGGTCTGGGTTTATTCCTGGTCTGTGCTGACACGTTATTTTGTGCGTGCGTGTGCATGCATTAACACACTGAAGTCGCGCAAGGGCAGGATCAGCCTTTGTTTTGACATCTTCCTTGGCAACATATTACCAAGGCTCACGTTACGAGTAAATCCACCCACACAACACATAGTCACTACTCTCTACGGTAAAATTCAGTGGACCACTCTGACCTCCTGACGTAAAAGGCGCTGCAACAAATAATAATAATCCTTGCATTTGATACAGCGCCTGATCACATCTTCGAGACGTCTCAGAGGGCTTCACAGGATATACTGTAAAGTGGTTGACTGTATATTGTGGGCGAAACGTGCGGATTGTGTATGTTTACTGGTGCTGAAGCAGCCACTGTACACACAGAGAGCTGCCTGTGACTTGCTCCGACGCTTTATGAATATCAGCGTGTGAAACACGGACAGGCTCGGACAAAACAGGCCCCGTTTGTGGAGGATGATGACGACGGCGGAAGGAAGTGCGTGAACTGTCTCGATCCGTTTATTTGCTCAGTGCGTGTGCCAATACTCACACCACAGTCAATTCGTTGTGAGTAACACAGCAATGAACTCACTTAAAATAAAAGGAACTTATAATGCCCCATCTTGAATTGAGCATTTCTGGGCACTCAGTCACGCTGCCACATTCATATAACTGTCCCGGGCCCCGCAACAGGAGGTTTCAGAGCCTGATCTCCATTCTCAAATACACTTACTACAACAACAACGACAACTTGCATTTATACAGCTCCCCTCACGTGTCCCGGAGCACTTGGGACAACTTACAGGGACAATGATAACCTCAACACCCGATCCATTCCTCGCCAGGTGCTGAACCTGCACTGACAATAGAACAAAGTGGTTCGCAGAATATACTGTAAAGTGGAGTGACTGTATATTTGTGGGCGAAATGCGGCAGCCGCTTGCTAATTAATTTCTTAATTAAATTAACAAACCCTAAGCCTGGGATCAATCCAAGATGAACACTATTAATGTTCGCTTCCTCCAAAAGAATAAGTGAAAGTCACACCCATCTGTGGTGTAACCCAGTCAATAAGGTAACGTCTGCTGAAATCACAAGAAGACCATTTATTCCCCATTTCAATTTAAAGGTTTAAACCGGGGAAGGAGAGTAAAGATAATTCTGATTTCAAGCCCCTTGTTGAAAGTACAGTCTTTGACATTGCCACATAACCATACAGTTTACACGTCCAGTTAAAAGAAGAGAGAAAAAAAATGACTCGGTGGCAGTGTTGCTGTCTTGCTACTTGTGCAAAATCCTGACGTGAGGATATCTGCCCGAGCTGCTCTGCACACTGTACTGTACTGTGATTAGTGGTTTGCTGATGTAAGCAGTGCAGAAGCCAGAAAATGGCACGTTTCAGGATCTTAAACTGAAACAGCTGGAAGGTTTCAGATGCCAATCAGCTGCTCGCAAGGCATTCTTCTCTTTGAAGTCACTCGGTAGTGAAGTGAAATTTGTGCTCCCTAATACCTCCAGCCCCGAATCCGTGTGGCAACTGGAATTGGCCTTGACGATATATTTTGTGGGCGAAACGCGGCAGCCAATTGCCACACAGCAGCGTGCCACGAACTGTTGTGGATTGAGTGACCAAATTATTATTTTTTTTGAAGGAATAGGGTAAAGTGCAGAAATCTGTCAAACCCAAAATTCGGTCATAGTCTTTGGAGCTGGAGTATTCACTGTGTCTGCTTCTCCCTGTGTGAGATGTTCAGCTCCTGACATCAGTTGGGTGGTTCAGTATATGTCAGCCAGTTATGTCAACTCCTTCAGTTAACTAGCACATCATACGAGTTACCAGGTCAACCCGCATCTCACATAACATGTGTACGCCCTTTCCCACCACTACTGTGAGTATCGATTCCAAATTTATCAATGTAAATAAATTCGATGCGACAGGACTGGGTTTTGTTTGAAGAGCAACCTTGTTGGACTTTGTTATCCAGAAGGACTTTGGACTAAACAAGTCATGATCTTGCGCTGATAAAAACCCATCCACGCTGCTCACACGATCCACATGGCCTGCTGAATATCAGGCACTGCATCAAACAAACCCAACAGGATTTCACAGCACCAGATCCGTGTCAGCTATTCACACCGGTAGAACCCACGTTCTGACGAAAGATCATCGACCTGAAACTCACTTTAACTCACTTTCCTCTCTCCATAGATGCTGCCTGACCTGCTGCGTGTTCCCAGCAACTTCTGTTTTTAATTCAGCTATTCGTCCACTAAATCAAGAGCTTTAGTCCCCCTCCTGGTCCAGATGCTGGTAGAATGGTCGAGTTTTCTCAAACTGCTAATTCCTACAAGATCCGAGCACGTCTCTGAACGAGACTGAAATCATGTGTAACACGTCAAACATGGGCGAGATTTTCCAACATTTCTGACAGGTGCAAACGTTAATTTGCCATTTAATTCAGGTTTGTTCCGGCATCATGGACCCCAGAGCAATCAGAACTGAAGTATTTGTGTTATTTTAATGCTGCCATATAGGAGTTTCAGGACACACACAGTTGATCAATTCATCTGTGCTGTACCGGTATTTCTTGTAAGCAAAGTTGCCTTTCTTTAACTTGATTTATAATTCCCACTCTACCCTGTACGTATGCCAAACTCTAAGATCGAGCACTGGTACTCGTAATACTACCAGTAATACTAATAATAATCCTTGCATTTGATATGGCGCCTTTTCAAGTCTTTGGGACGTCTCAAAGCGCTTCAAAGAATATACTGTTAGCTTCATCAATAGTATTTTACATAGCGCTGGCCGTGAGCTTGTAAGGGAATCTTGGAGGAATAAACCCAAACCTGCCTCACTCAGATTCCGAATATCTAGTTGTTTCACATTCACTCCAAGTCAGTTACCATATGATCATGCTTTTATATCTTTCTCCCTCCTTCTCTTGCCTCTTAAGACCATTTGTTCAGTCTCACTGCATCAACCTTCAGCATCTCTGCATTTTCAGTTCTTCTGGGAATCGACCCCAGGTCCTCTCGTTTGCGAGGCAAGTGCTCTAACCACTAAGCTACAGGACTCCATGAGGTTTCCCGATCAAATTATTTACATTTCCTTATACAGCCTCATGGACTAGCAAGGCTTCACAACATCTCGCGAGAGCTTTAAAACCAGCCGTACCATGGCAAGGCTTTGACGTATCACCGCTGGAGCTCGACATGCAAGTTGATGCTGCACTCACAAACCTCCAACTTCCCACAGACTACCAAAGGCCTCAACATCGGCCACACTAATAAAGTACCAAAATCAACATCAAAGGGAGTGAGTGAGTGAGTGTCATTTACAACTGGTGTGATAAAACACTCACTCGGTCTTGTAATGTGGATTTTTACTTGAATAAAATACTCTACCCAACAAACCAATTTGACAACCGACAGTGAAGCTAAAGGCTATATGTCCCTTGTCTTCACAGTCTGTTGAGAATCCAATTAAGGAGAAAAGCCACAGTGTATAACAAGCTGGTAATCAGGAAGTGACAACAAAAGGCAATCTGATGATCATCGTTAATGCAGAAGTGTGCTTGCTTTAGGAAACTCGCTCAAAGCACTTGGCGTTAAGTTCCCTATAAAAGTATTTACACTTCCTAACAACTGTTAGACTGTTCTGCAACTATTTAGAGGGCCATTACTCAGAGGGAATCATGGCACACCTGTAATTCTGCCATTCAGGATTCTGCCAAGGCAATCGTTTAGCTTACCAGGATTTTCTGGCTTGCACCTCACATATTCCGATTAGCCGCACAGGCTAAACAGGAAGGTCCTCAGTGTACAGAGGTACAGGTAATAAAAGACAAATTTATCACTGAAATAAAATGCAGCCAAGATAAATAACACCAGATTTCAAAGAATGAATTTGATGCCGCGATGGTGGATTGCGCCTGTTTATTTGACAAACCTTCAAAGACCACTGATTGACTTGTATGGGCTGTCACGTAGATGAAATACTGCATTCAATCAACCGCTACGTACTGGGGTCACGACTTTTATATTGAAAAATGATTTTAAGAGGCCAGAGCTTCATCTCCTTCTCACCCTCACTCTCTCTCTCTCACACACAACACACATACATACAACACAGACACATACACACACAACAGTACACCCACATTGGGAGAACTATTCCCAAAATGAAGCATTTTACACTCTTCCCCAGGCTGCGTTTAGCTATTAATCTTTGCATTATTCCACGTAGCCAATGTCACGTGTACAGACTTGCATGCCCTGCGGCGGACTTGAAGACATTTGAATTTATTGCCAAAGTAAACGGCGAACGAATATTGCGAAACAGGTCGAGGAATGAGAACGATTTAAAGATTCCTTGACACCATCCAACCTTACCTGCAAATTAAAGAATCGGCTGTATCGTCTATAGATAACTTCGGTGGAGCCATTGGACCATGTGACTTGGATAATGTAAACCTGAAAGGAAATAAAGATAATCAGCAAAATCGCTAACTGTAAAGCTTCCAAGTCATTAGCTCCCTCCCTCTCTCCCTCCCTCCTTCCCTCAAAGTCTGTGATGGTTATTGAAGCTCCAAAAGGCACAGTCACTGCACTTTACAGCCTATCCTGTGAAGCACTTCTGGACATCTTCCCGAAGCAATAGCAACTGTAAGGATTATTATTATTAATAATAATAATAATAATAATCAATAATAAGCGCTGTATCAAATACTAATCCGCGCATTTGATATAGCGCTTTTCACGTCTTCTAGACGTCCCAAAGCGCTTCACAGAATATACTGTAAAGTGAATTGACTGTATATTTGTGGGCGAACGCGGCAGCCAATTGGCACAGCAGTGTCCCACAAACAGTCATGGATTGAAAATGACCAATTTATTATTGTTTTTTTTTGGAGAATTATTATTATTAGACTCTGTGTGGAGTAAGGAAACTTGCCCAAGGTTTCGCCCTCTGCCTGGAATTGAACTCAGGTCTCTCACTTGTAAAGCGAGTGCTCTAACCACTGAGCTACAGGACTCCATTATTACTATTATTATTACTAAGCCACATATAAAATCTTTCTCCCATTACTAACTGTATTTGTCTTCCCTGTGAAGAGGACAAACAAGTGATGCCTTGGACCAGTTACTGCTGAACGAGGTGTAACTCTTCGCACAATGTGTGCGTGTGTGTTTGTGTGAGACACTGCATGGTCTCAGGACCCTGCGTCAAGTCGCTCCTTTCCTTCTCACGTGCAGCAGGCAAACGACGACGAGAATGTGGGGTAGAATTAATTACACCTCGTTCAGCAGTAGCGAGTTCAAGCAATCACTTGTTTGTCCTCTTCGCAGGGAAGGTACACAGATTGAGAAGACGACACAGGCTGAATGCTCGTTTCTCTGTGTCGTATCGCTCTACGTGACTCTGTAACCATGAAGACACCGCTCATGTGCTACTCGTGTGTGAGCACTGAACATAAGAGTTTCTTTCACAGCCAAACAATGTGGGCACAGCACTGAGTCGTCAATCTTCTGCTGAAACAGCCAGCTCGCTCCGGACCCTTACACTGATTAGAAGAAAGGCGTGTGGGATTCCAGCACACAGTTATTCGCAGCACGATAGAGTAAGAATTGAATTAAAGAGAGAGCGCGAGAGAAAGAGAGAACCTTGGTAGAGTTAACACTAACAATCACGGTTACAGATGAACACCATATTTTAATCAACAGCAGTTACACTGATTAATAGAAATCAATGTACAGCTTTAATTACAGAGCAAACTCAATAATGTCCGGGTGATATCCTGCGCGATGATTTTCCAAACCTCAATGGAAAGTCTCTCCCTACCACCACGATCATCATCATCATCACCATCAAAACCAGAATAACTTGGGAGTTTCAAAGTCGCTGCCACATCCTTTCACCTTCCAGCAAAGGATGTAATGGGCCTATAATAATCAGGTGGAAAATGTTTTGAATAAAATAAATGTGAAGCAGCCTCAGTCAATAGCTGCCAATGAATGACGCCAAGGTAATAGACAGCATCTGTTGGTGGCCATCCAACTCTGCACTGTGCCAGTTGATTATGACTTAATAATAATAATAATCCTTGCATTTGATACAGCGCCTTATCACGTCTTCGAGACGCCTCAAAGTGCTTCACAGGATACACTGCAAAGTGAACGGACTGTAAATTTTGTGGGCGATTTTGTTAATGTGGGATAGGCTGCAGGCGGGGAAAGAGAGACTGGGTCACATAAGAAAACATCCTGTTACATACAAAAACTCGACTGGCCAGCTGTATGTTTGCACAGGTGTCGGTCGCTGCATGGGAGAAGAAAAATTGAGTCACAGGGAGTGATTCCAGCCTATTTACAAAACATTGTCCTCATTTTATAGGGGTTTGGGCACAATTAAGCAGTGCTCCAGAGTGAAGTACTTTGGGCACCAATTTTAAGAAGTCGCAGTCCCAGGTCAACTATAGTAGATTATTATTATTATTATGTGCCTTAACCCTAAATACAGAAGAGTGCCCTCCACAGGACTTAATGGGTATTTTTCCAAACCAGCATCCCTTGTAGACTGTCCATGGTGACCAGTGTTGGCAGTTCTGTTGGCTCACACCTACCGCAAACACGGAATTTACAGATAACAAACAACTCGGAACAACACGCAACCTTTGGAGGGTTTACCCACATATAGTCTGAACATATACTACTATTCAGACCAAAAATAGTCAATTCTCCCCTCCCCCTCATTTGTTGGTCCACTGCTCCTTTACTGTTTGTGCAGGAATTACTCTCACTCCGACAGTCCGTGATGCATTCAAACCCCCAAGTGATTGTGCGACATGGCTGGTTGCAAATTGGCTGCCACATTCGCCTATATAAATGAAGTCACTACACTTTCCAGTAATTTCCGTAAAGTGCTTTTGAGACGTCCACCCAATGAAAAAAATCACCCAAACTCAAAATGCCGTCAGGCTGACTAAGTTTTAACCATCATTATTTTAACTGTCCATGACTCAATAAGAAGCAGAACACAGTTAACATACCGACTCTGTGAAGGGCGCCATCCAAATGCAAATGATTCTTACTGAGCAAAATTAGCTGCACAATTACAAAGCTGAGTTGAATTGGCTGCATCTGCTCAAATGTACAGAGAAAGATGAACATCAATCCTGTTGTAGACAGGACCAGACTTGCCTATGTTGACCGCTACGGTTGAGTAACCTACACATAACCGTAAGAATGCCCAGGAATCTAGGAGCTGATGCTCTTCAGGGCAGGCGAGACGAGGAACGATGTCGAAAATGCTAATTATTCCCACAGCAAAGGCACAGATACTCTGCACCAAGGTACACCCACAAAATATACAGTCAATTCACTTTACAGTATATTCTGGGAAGCGCTTTGAGACGTCTCGAAACCATAATAAGGCGCTATATCAGATGCAAGAATTATTACCATTATTATTATTATTATTCACAACACTTTCATCTCATTACAGACACCAAAACACGACAGAAACTGTCCAGAATGTATATTCAAGAGGAACGCGAAAGGTTGAGATTGCCTTAAAAATATCCCCCAAACCATTTAAGTTAAAAATAAAAGTTTTTTTTTCCTTAAAAAAAAACTGTGATAAAACAAAGTCTCTCGTCCTGGATTCTCGGTGCTTTAAAACCAACTGACTCTGCAATTGAAACTGAAGATCTTTTCAGATGTTTTCAAGGCAAAGAGCCATCCCAGCTCACTCCAGGTCAACCTCAAACACCCATGGAAAGGGCTCAAAGGCACGTTTCCTGTCTGTGTTCAGTGTAAAGTGGCAGAGTTAGTGCTGAAGCAACACAGAGAGAGCCACAGAGAGCTCTGGTTTGCTGTTCCCACTGCTTTTCCAAATGATATTTGCCATGGAATAGTAATAAACAAGGTGTGGTTTGGGTCTCAGAGAGAGGTTAGTGTGTAAATACAATTGCATTTACCTGGAGCAGTTAGTGCAGAGCTAATCAGCTCCTTGGAATGGTTTATGCAATGCAATTTTTTTTTCTGGAGTGGGGGGTGGAAGAGAGGGAGAGAAAAGGGGAATAAATCGTGACAATAGAAACACTGCAGCACTGGTCTGATTTTAATTCAAAGTAACTTTAAATGGGGGTGAGGAGGGAGGGTTCACATTGCAGACCCCAGGGAGCTGGTCCAGGACTTTGTGCATCCTGAGAGATCAATAAATAAACAAACAAACAAACAAACAAACACAAAGCAACAAGGTTTGCATACAACAAGTTCCCAGATGTTACTGTGTTACATACATAGTGTTTGTTGGGGACCCGTCTCTTCTGCACGTCCTCCACCCTCACATCCACGATAGCCCGACGAGGCATCTCACACAAGACAGACTCAGGCACTAAACCCCCAAACCTCCTGCTGGCTCCCCAAACCTCACTGCCATCAGCCTCGCTGCTTAGCTGGACTAGGATGGGGGTTTTTTTTCCCAGAGAGAGAGAGAGAGAGAGAGAGGGAGGGAGGAAGGAGAAGGAAAATCCCGAGCAGGAACTCCCCAATTCCAGAGCCTAAACCAACCAGCTGTTCTGACGAGCCTAACCCGGCCCCCGGGCCGCCTACTGGCCAATCACGCACTGAGCCACAGCGCAGCGACACCTCGGGGGCTTCTCTGCCACCAGCTCATGTCAGACTGGGTTAAGATGGCGAGAAAGATTCCAGCCACGTTATTCGAGTCAATAGGAGGCTTAACAGTGTTGTTGTCTAAAGTTCCTGGACACCCAGAGAGAGGAGGGGGAGGAGAGGAGATGGGGTGTGGAGTAGAGGGGAGTACTAGTAGGACCTCTTCTGCTCTGAAACATTGTGTCCCTCTGTTTATGTTTGTGTTTAGGGGAATTTGATACTTACACTGGAAGCTGGAAACCCGATGAATGGATGAGCGAATGAGCCGAGTTTGATTTTAATGTAACTTTCAGCGCCTTGGGACGTCCTCCCGACGTGAAAGGCGCTCTATAAATGGAATCTTGTTGTTGTTGTTGTTGTTATTCATCCGTCGAATTCACCTTCACCAACTCATCAGTGGCGCTCAACCTTTCCGCTTCACTTAATTTAGAACCCAAGACGTTCAGCTGAAGGCGAACAGATTCTTTCTCCCGTGAAGCGCTTCGAGACGTCTCGAAGGCGTGATAAGGCGCTATATCAAATGCAAGGATTATTATTATTTTCATCATCATCAGAGAAAGTATTACCTGGGGCACAATTTAACCTCACAAACTATGTCACAACCGAAAAAGTCGTGATATCATTACAATGTCCAATTAGTCTTAAAGAAACGATGATTTTTTTTTAAAGTTAATCAGTTAGATTTATTTTTTGTAGTAAGGAACGCACCAGCCACGCACCATGATGGGCAGACTTCAAAATCTAATCAAGACCGGCAAAAAGAGCCACTCCTGCCCGCTGCACAAAATAACATTACAATAGTTCCCTGAGATCAGTTCAGGGTGATGCTATAATGTCTGTTACACACAGCAGGTATTTACTGAAGACTACACGTCTTCCAGACCCACAGCGAGCACCCCCTACTGACAGAAATACTGAAACCCATCCGAGTTATACATTTACGATAGTTTTTTTTTACCCTCACCTCCAAAGAAATATCCCTCTGTCTTCCTTCGCTGGAAATATTTCAACAGAAACATGAATTAAAGTGAACTGACTGGATATCTTGTGGGCAAAACACAGCAGCCAATTGCACACATTAGTGTCCCACAAACAGTCGTAGATTGAGTGACCAAATTCTTTTTTTTTGTAGGGATGGTTATCCTTGGAAAAGCAATCCGCCAATTGACTACCAAACGGGTCCCCACTTACTTCTAGGTAAAGAGAGACGTGTGGAGTAAGGAAACTTGCCCAATGTTTCGCCCTGACTGGGAATGGAACCCAGGTTCTCTCGCTTGCGAGGAGAGCGCTCTAACCGCTAAGCTACAGGACTCCACAAAAGTTGATGAAAAAGTTTGGCATTTTTCCGGGGAAAAAAATGGGCTAACAATAGTGGTCGGAAAACACAATAAAACATAAATATTTAAAAACGTACATTTATGGAATAAAGTGAAATGCTTGCCGAGTAAATAATGAAGATTCTTGTACTGTTTGCAGGTTCTTATTCAGTGTGGAGGGGAGCGAAGGGGAGAGAGGGAGGTAAAGGAGTTTGGAGGTGGTACAGGGAAGGGAGATGGTTGGTCCTCAATGTGTAGAACAAAAGGAAGGAATAAGTTATACAGTTGGGAATCCCGAGGTGGTTTAATTGGCATTGGCATTCCCAGAAAGTGATGGCAGGAGCCAGAGACCAGTCTCAATCATTAACTTCTGTTCAACCATCTCATATTGTCCACAAACCCAGACACAGGGGACTGTGCCACAGCCAGAAACAAGCCCAGCAGTGATACCAGACTCAACTGTCTTCACAAGAGTTACACCATCTAGAATACCCTTCAGTCAGAATTGGGATCAGAAAGCTTCTTGGTTCGAATCCAATTAGCCCTTTCATCTTTTGAGGTCAAGAAATGACAATTTTTTTCCCCCAAAAGCTGCTCTTTCCCTCATGCACGACCTGAATGCAATATTCCTGGTGGGTTCTGACCAAGGCTCTATATACAGTTTGAAGCATCATTTCCTCTCCTTTATATTCCAGCCCCCGTGAGATAAAGGCCAACATCCCATTAGCCTTTTTGATAACATTTTGTACCTGTGAGCTTGTTTTTAATGGTTGTGTACGCGAACACACACATCCCTTTGCTCCTCCACAGGTCTTAATTTCTCACCATTTAGAAAATATTCTGTTTCGCTCATAGGATCCATAGTGGATGACCTCACACTTCTCTACATTGAATTCCATCTGCCAATTTTGCATATCTGTCTAAATCCCTTTGTAACTCTCTAAGTCCCTTTGAAACTTTCTAAGGCAGTTGGACGTTTAACTTGGCTTGGGGATAGCACTAACTGAATCAGCCGGATCAGACTGCACAACTTCACGTTTCATTCTCTCAACAAAATGATCTTTCCTGACTAATCAGCATTCACTATTTATTGAGAACAATTATAATAACCTTTTGGATAAAAGAACTGCATTCTGCAAACACGACTTATATCTGGGGACCTTGCGCCACCTCGTGGTGACTGGGAGTATTTCACTACACATTTTTGGAGTCGACAGAATTAAAAAGTCCACCCAAAAACTTATTTAAAATGCACAAGTAATACTTTCCAAACTCCTAATATATCTAATAATATTGCCACTAGTACTTCACCCTTGTCTTCTATCTGCACGTGTAGGATAGTTCTCTTCCCTTCAAACCATCCCAGATACAAGTGTCAAAACTCGTCTTCTACAAAATCTTCAATGCAAACATTCAGAAGTTCCAGAGTTAGGGACCTCTTAGATGAGTATCTGCATTGAGATCACATCAGAAGTGCTTTTTTGCAACACAAGACCCAAGCATATAAAATGGTTCCAGTTATAAGTTTTATTAGCAATATATTTACATAGTGGTTAACAAGGGCAGGAATTCTCCCCCATGAAGTTTTTCACTAGTTCTATTAAGAAAAAAATAAAAATGACTTGATTACAAACTAATTTTAAAAAAAGTTGCTTTATAAATCAGCATTTTCCTTATCTAATCATACAGAGACCGAACTTAGAAAACAGAGCACAAAAAGTCCCCTAGAAACAAACAAAAGCCTCCCTCAACAAAAAAAAATATTTTTTTTTAACATGGCAGGATTCAGTATACATTTGCGATCACAGCAAGTACATAGACTTCTTTTGTGGAACACGTGAATACAAGAACATGTAACTCATCTTATTCTTTTGTAAATCGGACTTCAGTAGTAAATACAGCAGTTCGTTCCCTTCCAAAACAAAAAATGTTGTTAAATGCATTTAAGTTAAAAAAATATATATAAATTAAAGGCTTGATCACATCTCTACAATCCTGAGGTCAAAGCAAGCACCGCAGTGTGATACCCAGGACTTCCTTAGAATGCCAACAGTTAGGCTTGTTCGGAGGTAAATGGGAAAAATTTGGCAATCTTGTTTGGGGAACTTGGACTCTGACACTCTGCTTCTTCACTGAGTTTGAAGAAAACCTCCTGATCTTTCTTCTTCTGGGTCAGTTCCTCCTCCAAAGCCTGCATTAAAGACAGAACCATTAGAATCCATCACTATCAAAGGGAATGAGGAATATATTAAAGGGTACTGGGAGAGAACAAGAGAATAGGATTAGAGTGGTTTCTCCAGCGGGAAAGCCAGCTGAACGTACAGACAATGAACTGAACAGACAATGAACTGAAGGATTTCTTCTGCACTGTAAAAGCTTAATAGGATTCCAAACAAAACTCCAGGCAATTTACTATCAATCGTTTGATTACCACATTCAAGTTCCAAGACTTTTATTCAGAAATGATTGCTCAAAATAACGTTTTAAAAAGCATATCATCATTATGCTTCTTTAACAATCTGATCCAACATTGCAATTACTCAACACTGTAAAATAATCCAGTGATTCAAAAATCAGGCAATTCACAACAATCATGTTCATATCATTTCAATTTCCTGAACAACACACTGGCAGTTTCAAATCATTTTGTAACTGCTCATCCAGCCATGAAAATTAATATTCTCATTCACAGAAACCAGGGCTTTAAATTCAGTACAAAACAGCTGTTTAAAAATATGTTTTGAAGCTAATTGGAGTTCTTCAGATTACAATATGTGATTCTGTAAGTTTCGGTAAATGTATTTCAGTTTTGCTTTCAAAGCAACATCCAAAGTTTGGTTTGACTGGTATTGTGGTTCTATAAAGATTTTCTTACAAAAAGGTGTTAAACGAAACTAAATTTAAACCCCAACAAGATGCTCAACAACATGCAACAATTCAATATTTGAGGATACTTAAGTAATTGCCTCAGATGGATAACAAAAGTTCAGCTTGCTAAATATCACAATGGGAAATAAATCATCTCCATGCTTTCATAATTAGCCAAAGTAATACTCAGCTAAAGTGGCACATTAATCATTAGATGCGAGTAAGCTGTTAAATTGTCACACTCTGTCGGGTAAATTCAAACCCTCCACTTAACTACAGCTTCAAAATGGCTGATTATATGTTGAGAAACTGCACTGCAAGCACCATACATGAAAATGTTCTGAACTAATACTCACCCCCAAACCCAGCACATTGGGTTTGCATTCCCCAGAATTCTGTGTGTCCTCCTGATCGAGAGATTTATAATCAAAGTTCCTATCTTTACTGCAATTTTTGAAACAAGGTACGAACACACAAAGAAACCCTTGAAATAACCGTACAGAATGAATGGAACGGGAGCAAATATCCCAGAATAGCAAACGTTCGTATTCTCCACGGCTCAAAACCATTCGAATAAATATTCCTGAAACTGCAGCGAGCAGATCCTAAATTCATTGTGACAGAATATCGACCCAAACTGCTGTAATGTCAAGTTCAACTCTGCTGCGTTAAGAGGCACCAAATAAAGGAGGCTCAGTCCTTCGGATGGAGTGTTATATAATGTAATTGAGTTGTGAGACTCCAAATACCAGTTCAAGTCATGTATTCACTTTTTAATGTCTGGTGTTCTACGGTTTGGGACGGGAACAATGTAATATAAATTGTTTAATTGTTTACGGTTTAACAATACAAAAGCAATAAAGTGTCCTCATCCCTCAGCCAGTGGGATCCAATCAGGATTCTTACTCCTGCTTTCTGGAAAATCACTTTGCTTTGCTTCCCGGATAAGTTGGGCATTAGATACATACATTGGGCATTACAGAACCGTTCACTATTTAACAGCGCATTTATACTGGACTTGCATTAAGGTCTGGTAAATCTTACCATCTTTCTTGGCCTCAGCTTCTCCCTCCATTCCTTCAGCTGTTGATTGTGGTTTTCATCGATTGCTTTTAGCTTCTGAGTCTCGTGTTCAATCAGAAGATGGCACTTTTCATTCTGAAAGAATTACAGGGCAATTAGTTTAACTGCTAAGTAATAACTTAATCCACGTCTGTTTGTGGGACACTGCTGTGCGCAATTGGCTGCCGGGTTTCGCCCACAAAATATACAGTCAATTCACTTTACAGTATATTCTGCGAAGACTTGGAGATATCCCGAAAACGTGATGTGCCGCTATATTAAATGGAAGGATTATTATTATTGCAACATCGCACATTCTATATTTGGGGAGGACAAATTTGCACGGCTATGAGGAGAGAGCTGGGGAGTGGGATTATAATTTGGACAGCTCTTTCAAAGACTCAGCACGGGAATGATGGGCGGAATGGCCTCCTCCTGTGCTGTATAATTCTATGATTCTGTCAATCCAACTGACTTTAAACCATATAACTGTAGTGCACTTTATGTAGAAATAAAAGCCACAGAAACGGCAGACACATCACCTGCATCTGCTGAAGCTCCTGGATGTTGCTCTCACACTCGAGTTGCATGTCTCTCATTTGGGCTTCATGTTTCTGCTGCTGATTCTGCTTTTCCATTTTCTGCTTCTTCTCTTCTTGTTGCCCAAACTTCGATTGGGGAGAAAAAAAGCATTAATATCATAAATCAGTGAATCCAACACATAAAGACAAACTCAACTAATTAAGGCTTCTTCACCACCACCTTGGAGATATGGGGTCCACAAAGATTAGTGGTTGGAGATGTAAGTGGTCAGGTCAGGGAAGTTCTGTACACCAACAAAGAGGGCCATTATTTGCAACAGACGATGTTTGACAACGTACATTTCAGTTAAACAATAACTTAGTCTGTAGGCAAACTAAAATAATAGTTAATGTGGTCAGAAAGCAAAGCTTTTGATGCTTGAAAAGGTTAATGTAACATTTGAGTTAACGTGCAAAACCACTAGAAGGTTTGTTAACAGAACACGATTTACTAAATGAGAATCATGTGGCATTTATGTACGATCTCTTCAACGTCTGAGTATGAGCATCAAGAATCAAATGACAATCAAGCGCTCAAAGACGCTACTTGTGTGGAGGGCACTGTATAAATGCAAGTTGTTGTGTATTTTAAAGATTAAGCAGCAGCTCTACAGTCAGTTTATTACAAATTAAAAACACATTTTCCTCCATTTGACTGTCCTCATTTAAGAGCCAGAATAGGTTCAGACAAGGTAACTCGGGAGTTTCCATCTCACTCAGTCTGGTAATTCCACCCCTTGGGTGAGGGATGAAGTAAGTTTCAGGAGAGAGAGATAGATTTAAATTCTCTCCACATTCAAACAGTCAAAGTAGACAATCAATTCACAGCTTAAATTAACATTTAAGCCTGTTTTGGAAGCCTACGGAGGTTTATTTTTTTGCTACTTGTCCAGTTTTTAAGGAGTCCATAAAGTAACCGAGTCACGAAGTAGCTCACATGGTTAGCGAGTTTGGTGGCTCTCACTGCCTCAACCCACCTGTTTTATTTTGTCTCGATCCTCTGTGTGACTGCCTGTGGAGTTAATGCGCAGACTCTTCTTGTACATCATCATCCTGGTCTTCCCCTCGCTCCTCTGAATTTTGGGAAGTCTATTCTTTTCCTGTTGCTGCCTGACTTTCAGTTGCTCGATCATTCGCTGATTGTAACGCTGCATCTGCTCCAACTCCTGCGATGGAAAGACACACAAAGATAAAGCCACTGACTGGAGCCAAACACCTGAGGATTCCACATCTGATGCCCATTCAGTGTTGAGTAACTGGACCCTCTACTACATAAGAATATCAGCTACAGTTCCTGACAAAAGGTTCAGAGCACCATACTTTAATAAAATCTAAAGAATCATTTGGAGATTTTTTATATAGATCGAGAATTAGGTATCGACCCAACACTCGTCTTTTCATACATGTCGGCCGCTGCACTTTTACCTTCTCGTGTTTCTTGAGCAATTGGTGTCTTTGCAGAAAGTATTGGTCCTTCAACTGCTGTTTGAGGAACTGGTGTTTCTCCTGCAGATGATGTTCCTCCAACTCCCAGATGGCAGCCTCTCTGTCTACAAGAAGCCCAAGGTGGCAGGTTACACCCCAAGTGCACCAATACTCATCACACATCCGAGAAATTAGGACAGAATCGCTCTCCTCTTGAATTTGCACGAGTGCGTCTCACTCACAAGCACGCTCACATCACTTTCAGCACAAGCGCTCCGGGACACTACCCCATATAAATGTTGTTAGCACAAAACCGACTGTAGGCCTTCAGCCACTCTGCCCCCATCCTCTGGAGCTCCATCCCACAGTCCCTCCGCCTCACCCCCTCCCTTGCCTCCTTCAAGACCCATCTCAAGACCTTCCTCTTCAACCCTGCCTTCCGTCACCCTCCTACCGTTACCCTCACCGCCCTCCATCCCTCCTGAACACAAGCACCAGCTCAGGTGTAGATCCCTGACTGTCTAGTGCCTTGGGACGTCCTCCTGACATGAAAGGCGCTGTGTAAATATAATTTGTTGTTGTTTTAAGTTTAAGATTTGGAAAATTTTCATGTAACTTAAATGTATGAATGTTGCTCCCACTGCTATTTGACTTTTGTTCAGTGAATATTTTGAAATATTTCTTGGTACATATTTACATAAAGTTGAAAAACCTGAACCCAGGGCTTCACTTTTCACCCAGATGGCCATCATTAATCACATTAAAAGCTTTCGCGGTTCACATTTGTGAATTAATCGACTAAAATGTCTATTGTACCTCTCATAAGCTGCTGTTTTTTTGCAAGGCATTCCCGTTCCTGGTCAGAAATTTCCTTCTTATTTTGTGCAATTATTTTTTTCAACGCCAAATCCAGTTCCAGGTGCTGCTTGGATTGAAACTCTTGATCCTGGACAGGAACACAAATGATTCAGGTATTTCAGAAGTTAATGGGGAGTCACTGAGAAATAACCATTTATGATCATTTAAGATTTGTAATGTAGTCCACTGCGCCTTCGTTAGTTACGGTTTCTCTAGAAAAGAAAACTGGTCAAAGATTCTCCTGACTACCTGCAATATACTGGAGACATTCAACTCATTTCATCGTCTTATGCTGTGAAGAACACAATTCATTGTGGGTCAGAAGGCAGAGCTATAACAAGCACAACAAAGATTGAAAGAAGATAGCGAACAATAAAATGGAATGGCACAATACGTTACTTTACGACTCCCAGCTCACATGATGCACAGCCACCGTGATCAAGGATCACAGAATCAAAAAAGGACAGAAATTTCTGATGTACAGGAACCGCAGGAGGTAATAATCACAAGAGAATAGTGGAGCTGAAAGGAAACTGAAGGTCCACTTGACAGAGCAGCCTGAACATAGACCATGAAGCTTGATCCAAAGGAGGGGATAATCCATGTAGGAAAATGCACACAAGTCAAATAATAGGTTTAGCAGGACAAACAATTAAGCTTTTTTTTTAAATTAAAAAAAACATCCACTTGCTGAAAAGCAAAACCATTCAAGGAATCCCATTATAACAGGGTCACCTGGGTCCCAACATCTCAGGCGGCACATTAAGCGAAATGTGTAAACATGGCCACCTTCGGTCATCGATGACATTACTTCCTACACAACACATCGGAAGTGACATCACGGGTGACATGAAGTCCTGGAAATTGGCCATTTTTGGGGGCCTGAAGCTGGCAAGTGAGTGCTGGGAGCATCTCAGCAACAACAAATTACATTTGTATAGCACCTTTCACGTCTGGAGGACGTGAAAAGAGCTATACAAATATAATTTGTCGTCGTTGAGATCTTGCAGCTGGTATTGTACGAGTGCTCAGTAGAGCCGTACTCGGGAAGAGCACATTCTAACAGGGCCGTCCAGCAATTCCATTCGGTGGGAAATACCTGCAATCTGGCGAGAGAAATACCAACCTTCAGACATTATCCAACCTTTAAGAGCTCTTGTGGGACAGTTGAGGTTTAGGTCATTTAGCAAAAATAAGAATAAAAATGCAAACAAGTCAGAGCAATACGACTGTTCCATAAGCATCCAATGTACCAGATAAATATAAAACAACCCAAATTAAAAGCTTGTTGTCCATTGCTGACGAGAACATTTTGGCATTTAACCTGCAAAAACAATGGTAATGTGTTTTTTTTAAAAAACGACTACTATTGGAATTCAGATATAGGAATTACATCACTATCTGTTGCACCATATCCCAGAATATCACTATTTTTAAAACTGACCAAAATATCTCGTATCTTGTATCTATCAATGCTTAGTTGCAGCATTCTCTTTCCTGCTTTACAAATTCAGAATCCAAATGACGAAATTCCAGGCTACTGGCTAAGCCATATAAAATATTGCTTTGAAGGTTATTTGCAATACATACTGGCATTATTTAAAGCAATCCAATTACAGTGTATATCTAGTGCACACTCGATGGGCCGAATGGTCTCCTTCTGTGCTGTAAATGTAATGATTCTATGCAAATACACAGTCCCAACCAGTTTTCACACAAGATGGTTTGGCCCAAATAGATCAAAGGCATCACTGCCAGAGTTAGAGCAGCGATCAAACCACTCCCTACAACCATGAGATTGCCCAAAACTTCACCACCTGCGTTTCCTTGGGGTTAATCCATCAGCAGGATACTGGATGGTCTCTAGGTGACAAAAAAAGAGCTACACTTGTGTTCACAAGATGATCCCAGGCAAGCCCGTCCAGCTTACCCCACAGCAAAAGAATGAACAAGCAGCAAGTGAAGTCCATGATTCAAGCACGGGCCATCACCGAGTTTAGAATCCAACGTCATTAAAGGGCTGAAGGTAATTTGCCTTGCATTTCAGTCTTCCTTTGTGACTAAAATGAAAGGCAGATTTCTCCCAGGTGACCTTGTATTCATCACATCCCCAAAACATTGTTACGAAACCAAACCGTTCAAAACACAAACCTATCCAAGTGTCTGAGCTGGGCCAGCAGAACCTTCATTGATGAGGCATTGTTTGGTGTCTCTACTTGTAACCCAGGCATTTGACAACGAAAGGAAGGCCACTGATGTAATATTTTGTAAAAACTATACATTTTTCCTTCGGGAAAGGGTAGTTAGGAAAGGTGTTTAAGCTTTTGGTATGGGGTTAAAGGCTTTTGTGCCACAGTTAGGGACTGGATTAAATATTTTAATGGGATAAAAGGAAAATAGATGCTATGGGATTGAGAGATTTGGGGGTGGGAGGGGGGGTTCAACGGATTTTGACCAGCTTGGGACTGGGCTGGAACCAGTCTACTTAATTGAATTTTCAGGCCATTGCAACCGATTATTTCTATTCACTGCTGCTACCTGTGCATGCTTCTTCTGTGAAAATTCTCCCATTTTTTGTTTCATGCTGTCTCTGCGTTGGTGTCTGGGAAGTTTGTCAACCTCACTCTTTACCTAATGTACAACAAAAAAGTACACATTTTAGCAGATAACCTAATAATCTGCATTGAACGTAGAGATTTCAGGAGAAGTGTGAAGAGCAAGAATATTTAATAAAGCCAAATAGAAACTTAGACAAATAATCATGGCCTAAAATTAAACTAAAGCCATTTTATTGTCAGTTTATTTAAGTGACAGACACCGAGGCCCTTTACCACAATATTGCTTTACATTAAAAAGTGAAAGGTGTTTTGATCAGGGGGAGAGAAGGGAAGCAAGGGGTTAAAGAGTTGAAGAAAAATAAGAATCGTCCAAAGCTGAAGCACTTCCACCACTTCAACAATTTCTTACAAAATACATCTGCTTGGAGTAGCTTTCCGTTTATTAACTGAATTTGTGTAGAAGCCTCATTTTTTGGTTTTTAATTTGATAAAAGAGAGATACTGAAATGGGAAGGAGTATGATTAATAATGTCCCAATTTCACAGGTTTAAAGAAAGGTTTGGCAACAATGAGATGCTCTTTCCTGAATATTGTAGAGCCATGCTGATCTGCAGGAATAAACCCAGTAACAGCCATCAGCAGAGACGTTGCTATATATGAGTCACAAATTGGGTTTGGCTATTTAGGGTAATTTCTTACTGCTGGAATTTGAATGCGTCTTGGAACAAATCTGCTACACAATTTAAAAAATGCTTCTGAAGTTATTAAAATTCCTTGATTTGCATCATGCTTTGAGCTGAGGTATTTCTCCTCAGATGCCCAACTGATAGAAAGTGACCTTTCGCTGGTTGAAAAGAAAGCACTTACCTCTGTTCCTTCCTGAATGGACTCCACTACTACAAGGCCTCAAGGACAAATTTACAAGTCAAGTTTAGGATTGGTGCTTTCACAGGTGTCCTCAGATTGGGTCTCAACCCTCATCGGATCATTAGTGCCCTCAAGGGCACCAACAAACTGTATTGGAGATGGTTGTGATAACATGAATGAAGTTATCCAGGAAACCTAGCAATTCTGATTGCAGGATCCTGTGTGATAACGATGCTCCCAAAATCCCAGGATTTATAGAAGGGAATTCCAGGATTGTATTAATTTTTTTTAAAAAAGCTTAGTTTTTTTAACTCTTTCAGTTCTTGTGCATTATGTCCCCCTTTTTCTCTCTATACATTATACACTCTGTGCGTGGGATTGCAATCCTGAGTCCCATTATTATTCTCCATGTTGGATACCCCATCTCAATCAGGCCACTGGAACAGGACACCTGGTGAAGGGCATCCCTACAAGAGACGAGAACACTGCCTCAGTATGCTGCTGTCAGCACATTGTCATTTATAACGAGAATTGTCTCGCTATACAGAGCTTATATAGATTGGGTGTCCGCCTGCTTAGCTTTAGTACTGGAGTCCTGAAGAGAAGGGGAGAAACAAAATTTTAAAACGAAAAAATTGTTACTGTAACCTCTGTGAAAAATGAGTGCATATTTTATAATGAAATGGCTGAGGGAAGAGGATTGAAATCCAAGCTTACATCACACCCAAGTATTTCAATTGATGCAGAGGATTATGAAGTTGTAACGTACTTCAGGTGCAAAGGTCAGATGTAGAGACTGTGTTCATTCCCAATAAAAATGTTCCCACAATAAAACCCTCCCACATCCGGTGCACCTTAAATTCCATCTGCTTCAACTGAAAGGAGACCAGGACAGAATGAAATTTATTAAAAGTTCTCAGAAACCAGTAATACAAGAGATAGATAAATCAAAGAAAAAAAAAAAAAAAAAATCGAGGTTAAACACATACAACTCTCCTGCATTTTTCGAACAAATCAGGTTAAGATCTCAAATTATGTTAGTTAAATTCTCTCAAACCTGTGAGATACCAACAACATTCATGATTGGTTAGTTTTCTTGATCACCACATTCATTTCAAACAGAGAGACCAGACCACAAACGATTGGAAGTTTCCCCATTCTGAAAGTTTCGAACCTTGACGTAAAGTTTAAGTTGTTTTCAGTAAATTTTAAGAAAACTTGCTTGAATTTTTACCTCTTTCTTCTGAATTTTCAGCTGCTCCACGAATTTGGCATATTCCTTTTCTTGCTCAGCTTTGATTCTCTTGGCCTCGTCACGGAGACGGCTTGTGTGGTCCTGTTCCATCTTCTCAATCAGCTGCTTCTGTTGCCTCTCCAAGTTTTCCAACTCTGTGTCAAAGAACTTTTTCTTTCCCTGCATGAAACAAAAAAATAGCAACTCAGGAGCCAGCACAGACGTGATGGGTCCAACAGCCTTCTTCTGGGCCATAAATGCCTGTGGTTATATGGTTCCATTTTCAAGATTGAAAGGATTGTGTTAAGTTATTCTTTTTTTAAAAAAAAAAGGCACAGCTTAAAACCAAAATGTTCAATCGCCAAATCTTATAGCATGTATTTTAGCAGCCTTTAGCAAAGGAAAGATCAATAAAATGGACCTACAAATGAATGTCCAGATCTTTAAGTATTTACCCAGAACACATTAATCTCCCTTCCACAACCATGTGTATCTTTCCAGAGGTGCAGGTATGAAAAGGACATTATCAAACACAGCGCACAACATTCTTTGATACACTGACTTCTGAAGAGCATCACTGACAGCTGAGAGCTGGTGACAAATAATCCTTGCATTTGATATCGCGCTTTTTCATGTCTTCGACGTCTCAAAGCGCTTCACAGAATAGACTGTAAAGCGAATTGATTGTATATTTGTAGGCGAAACTTGGCTGCCAATTGCGCACAGCAGCGTCCCACAAACAGTTGTGGATTGAAGTGACCAATTTTACTATTTTTTCTTTTTTTGAAGGATTATTATCAGGCATGTGGAGTAAGGAAACTTGCCCAAGGTTTCGTCCTGCCTGGAATTGAACCCAGGTCTCTCACTTGCGAGGCGAGTGCTCTAACCACTGAGCTACAGGACTCCTGACAAGATGGCCAGATGTCTACAGCTGACGCCAGGATATCTCAGATAAAAACCACAACTCAAGGGGCCAGTGACAGTTATCGTCACTTAATTTTTAAAAAAAAAAGGAATTAGAAGAGGCAAAACAATAAAATCATACGTTCATCTCTTGCTCAAATCGACGAAGCATTTGTTCTTGTTGCTGCTGTAGTTTGGCAGTCAGTTGAGTCTGAGCTCGATGTTCCTCCTTTTGTAGCAATCTCAGCTCCCGCAGCTCCTGTCGCCTATCGATTCAAAAATATTTCAAATTAGCCTCTCCACATCACCATGAACTGTTCAATTTCCACGCATTTATCACCCACTGCTTATGGTAATTAAATCTAGTTAAAGAATCTGGATTTGATTCCAGGGCAGGGCAAAACGTTGGGCAAGTTTCCTTACTCCACACACCTCTGTTTATCTAGCAGTAAGTAGGAAAACCAGTTGTTAGTCGATTGGCAGATCGCTTTTACGGGGGTAATAATCCCTTCAAACCAAAATAAAAAAATAATACTGATTTGGTCACTCAATCACAAATGTGTGTGAGCACTGCTGTGGTAATTGTCTGCTACGTTTTGCCCACAAAATATACAGTTAATTCACTTTAGAGTATATTCTGTGAAGCGCTTTGAGAAGTCTCAAAGACGTGATAAGACGCTATATCAAATGTAAGGATTATTATTATTTCAGATTCACTGCATAACCTCGTCCAATTTACTGGTGCATGACCCGGATATTAATTGTATTGGGTGGCAGTAAATACAAATGAGTTTGTTAAAGTGATACTGGAAATTTTGGGACAGTGTAAAAACAAAAGAAAATCTTTTCCACGTGCCTTAGGAATCGCATTTCTTCAGTTTTCTTTTCATCGTCGCCAATAATCTTCGATGTTGTGACGCTCACTTCAACCCCATCGACCACAAACTTCCTGGTTCGTTTCAGAGTTTTGTTGTGCGCTTTGGCATTCTAAGAGGCAAAAAGCAAAGAAATAATTGCTTACTGACGATAAACAGGTACACAGATTGCAAAGACTGATTAGTGGACAACAATGAAAGCTCTAAACCACGATTTCAATTGAAACGCAGCAATGATAGATTTCCCTCGACGCTGACACTTGATGCCTAGAGGGGAGTGCTTTTCCGAGGATTTAAGTTCAGAACAATAGAAATCTTACCCGTATCGAAATGGAACCAGTTTCCTTGTTCAATGAAAGGTCCGCTGAAAGTGAAATATTCAGGTCAATGCTGTCGGAAGCAGACACGCTGCCCCAATCAGAATCCCGTTTGGATTTTTGACCGGTGGAATCCAGTGCTTCGGTCAGAGAATCTGAACCCAGAGGTACATTTTCATCCATTTTGGTTTCACTTCCCCTGAGCAAAACTTCTCCATTCTTTGGATCAGCAGCATCCTCAATCTGAGCAGAAGCGCAAACGTCTGGCAAACTTTGCTCCCGTGGAGGGGAACTCTTTGCTGGTAGTTTGATCTCTTCAGAATCTGGCACAGAAGTAGTTGCGTCATTTGATTTTTCGTTTGTCTGCACATCCTTTTCAGATTTGTCCTTCACACACGGGCTGACTTTCCCATCTTCTATTCCCGAGTCTGTACTTCTGCTCTTCACCGAGTTCTCACTCTCTGCCTTGTCACTGTCACTGCTGCAGATGCCCTCGTCACTGGATTTATCAGCTTGAACTTTCACAACTTCAGGCTTTACTCCATTGACATCTGAAGGTTCTGGCGTCTTAGGAAGCTTTTCTGCTTCCAGACTTATCTGGCTCAGTTCAGATAGAGCACGTGTGTGACCTGAAGAGGGCTAACGGGAGAAACAGATTTTAGGTAGGATAAGGATATAATAATAATCCTTGCATTTGATATAGCGCTTTTCACGTCTTCCAGACGTCTCAAAGCGCTTCACAGAAGACCGTAAAGTGAAATGATTGTATATGCATTGTAATAGCATGTATTAGCTCACAACACTCTAGAAGTAGGATTATTCTATCTTGATTGCAAAATATCACCAAAACTTGCTCATATTGAAATGCACAAGTTTGTGGTCAGACTGTTCACAACCAGTCTACATCAGTGGTAGCCAACGCACAGGCCTGTGAAGTGGCTGCCGAACATTCGCACGAGTCTAGGCGAGTCTGTGTTAAATCAAGGATTTGTTTGCAGTACAACAACAACAACTTGCATTCATATAGCACCCTTCAAAGTGAGGTAGCTACTGAGTGACGATATTTATGGTGGGGCCATAAATCAAGAAACATTCAATCAAGAAAATGTATGTGGTTGGCCACCACTAATTTACATGATAATCCAGGGGAACAGCAATTTACTGTATAAGTGACATTTGCCTTTTGGTCTACACTAGTCATATAAGGCACGTGGCCAGACAGACAAGTGGAACATGTGTATACACGCGGGTCAGAAGTTTGCCATCCCTGATCTGGATAATTTCAAGTCATCACTTACTGACAAATGGTCTGATTCATCATCTTCCTCACGGTTGTCTTCAATTTCCTCCATGACTTCAGCTTTTGCCTCTGCTACCAGTTCCCTGAGGGGCTTACTGTCAGAAACACTGCTCACAAAGGGATGCTGTTAAAATGAGAAAGATTGAACAGCTGACAACATAATTCATTAAACATTGGGGCCTGTTCCGCTTGATCTTAATTTTTCAATCGTGTTCTTAGTTATGTACCTTTCTCATTTTAAGGGGTGGGGGGGGGGGGGGTTGGGGAAAAAAAAGACAACCACAACAGATGAAATATCATGGAACCCATCTTCTCAATACTATCAAAGGTTTTAAAAGAATTTGCAGGACTCCCATCATAATAAACTACTAAACGATGCAAGCCAAACGATATTACATTTGATTCACTGAATGTGGTACCAACAAAAGACTACAGTAAACAATTTCAGCAGCATTTATGTATTAATAAATTAGAATATTACTGAATAAAGAGCATTGTGTTCTCAAAGCAATCACATTATTCAATCCCAACTTCAAAACTAATGTCATAATAGTTAAATACTAATGAGTGGGAACAACATTCCATTAGAACCACAAAATCAGAATTCGCTGATTGTGATGGACGCAAGTCTAGTGTATTTTGCGAACATTTCAAGCGCTCTAAAATGCGCATTATAAAGAGCATGTGAGGTTGACCTTTTCAATGAGTTTTATGATGGCTAACTATCCCTGAAAGCTGAATTAAGTCAAACATCAAGTGCCCCAAACTGATAATCATTGCTGTATGTTCAGCCAAACTGTTCTGTACAGAAAGGAAATATTTTCTTGACTGGTTGTAAACCATATTTAGGATATTCATTAGAGGATTAAGTTTACACAAGTCTTCCTCCTCTTATCTGATTGCCGCCAGTTAACAGTACAAACATCTCATTGTCTAAGAGCTACCATCACATTACCACAGATGTTGGATTCCATCTGAAGTTGCACATCGGAAGTATTAAACTTCGCTTCAGGGTTCATCAGCAGACATTTCTAAACAGTTTAAACATTTCTAAACAGTCACTGTCTAACTTCACCCTCTTAAATCCACAGCAGATTATTGAAAACAGTCTTATTTGTTTCTGGAAAAGAATGTTTGCAAAAGCTCAGATAAAGTCAACTTAGTCACTACTACTTGGAGGCATTTTGCCCCCATATGTTCAGCAACTGCTGTTGGTGAAAATCTTATGGTTTATCAAATAAAGCAAGGATTTAATATAATCATCTTAATTGATTAGTTTGCTCCCAGATCTTTTTCTGGCAGATATTAAATTCAGAGGACAATCTGCCTTCATTTTAAAAACTTTAATTTGGATTTGAGCAGAATCAGCACCGCAAAATTCTTACCTCTAACAGTTGACTTGCATTTAGACGGGTTTCTGGATTCTTATCCAGCGCTTTTTTGAGGAAATCTTTAAAATCTTTAGACCTGAAGAAGATACAAGCATTTCCCAAAGGCTTAAATAGCAGTTTCAACTCATCAATTCATCACAGTGGTCCACTGAAGCAAGGGAAGGAAGACAAAAAAAAGCCTTGAAAGTGCCTAAGCAGATAGCTAGCACAAACCGCTTTAAACAAAGCAGATATAAAAATAATGTGCTGCCCAACTGACATGAAGGCATGTAACATTGGGTTGAGGGGGAAAAAAAACAGAACAGCAAAACATCCAGACATTACTTTCCTAATGAAATTACACAGAACTTTGAAGGGGGTGGGGGGCGCTCAGGTCTGAGCCAACTAAATATTGCCATTAAGATGACAATATGAAACTCAGCTAAAATTGCATTGAATTGTTTGCATTAGTAAGGAAAGTAGCTTTTCAAACTAACCACATAAAACATACAAAAAAAATGTTTTGCATTTTCTTTTTCTCTCCGAAGAATTCAGCTCTTACCATTTTGATGGATTGTCCAACGTCGGAGGCTCTCCCTTAGCAATTTTCAGCAACACTCTCATTGGGTTTAACTCGTGGTGAGGTGGCTCTATTTGAGCCATTTCGATTAACGTTATACCGAGGGACCAGATATCAGATTTATAATCATATGGTGTATCTTTCATAGTTTCACACATCACGACTTCTGGGGCCATCCTAAAAGCAAACCATTGAGAAAAATAGGTTTTACAGAAGAACCGTTTCAAGGTGCTTCAATCTTCTAGTGACTCAATCACCAAACCTTGATTTCCTATGTGGAACTCCAGCCCTCCATCCTCCATTCCCTTCTCGCTTCGTCTCCTTCAAGGCAAGTCTCAAGACCCCTCTCCGGCCACCCTTCTACTCTACCTGCCCTCCACCAACCCCGATCCCAAACCCCCCCCCACCCCCACTAGCACGGGTCCAAATTTCTGACTGTCCAGCGCCTTGGGACGTCCTCCTGACATGAAAAGCGTTAGACAAATGTAATTTTGTATTGTATGCTTTCTGGGAAATTGCTTGCGTGCAACTCCTCAAAGAAGCCTCACTGCTCTCGCATGTCATATCAACAGCTATAACTTCCTATGGTTGGTATCTTCACACTTAATGTGTCTCTGTGCTCTAACATTTACGGCTTCACCATCACCTCGGACTCCAGGGTCATTCGATAATCGCTTCCATTGCTTAAGGGCCCTGTCAGAAACAGTTTCCTCTTTTGTGCCAAATGTTTTTCTTTTCAGCGAAGGATCTTAAAACCCAAATCCAGCTCTCATACCTGGAAAAGGTGCTTTAAATTCCAATGGGAGAAGAAAAGCCTCAGTGACTGATTGAGAAATCGCAAACCCAAGCCTGCCCCTAACCTCTGGACTCCAGGTCAACGTCTGCTTACCAATAGGGTGTCCCAATGAAAGAATTCCTCTTTTGAAGAGTTTTTGTGTTTTTTGCTGAAACGCCAAAATCCGCTGTGAAGAAAATATAATTATTATTCGAGTTTTTTCAAGGAATTTGGGAAAGATTCAAAGTTCTTTCCCCACCTCCCAACCTATCATGAACTGAACAGGAAAAAGCATTGCAACACATTATCTGATTTACAACAGGGAGACATGGTCAGTGTTGCTTTCGTGTAACCAATGATCCAACGTTAACTTTGTGCTCCTATAACCTTGGATACCTTTCAGCTTTGTCTTAATAGGTAGTTTCTAAACACAAAGGTTCTGCACTCCTTCACAAGAATAGTGTGATAAGAATAGTGATAACTGCCATATTTATCACCATGGGTTGTCATTTGCTATCTGAAGGCTTCTAAAAAATCGTCATGATCTTGTTATTCAACATGTAGGTAACAGTAACAATTAATCAGTCAGGGTGGCTCGGAGCTAAATAGAGATTACGAAAGTAGATATTTGTGGAAGCAAAACCTGGATCTTTAAATAGCTCTGAGCCTTTAATCATGTGAGGGTTTGGGTAAATCACCTTCATTCTTGAACCTGAAAATAAGATGGAAATGCGACCGTAACACAATAGGCTGAAGCCCAGAAGCAAATATCTACAACAACAAAAAAAAAACCCTCCCATGTTGCTTTTAATGAGGCTGGGGATAAATGGACAATTATAGAAATAGAATCTTTTAGCATAGGAGGGCGTTTGGCTGAAAGGATGTGCCACTTCAACATCCATTCCTCACCCCACCCTGCCAAAAAAAAAGAGCATAGGAAACACTTCATACTATTTCTATTGAGGTTTAAATAAGGTTAGTCTATTTCCTGCCTTGAAGCCATCATAAAGACTGGCCCTCGACCACTGTTTAAGCAATATTGCAACTTTACTGAAACAGGAAACTCCCAGGAAATGTTGCAAGACCAACTTCTTAAAAAAAAATTATGCAAAGAAAGGAATGAAGTGTCCAGAATTGAGTAGAATTGTTTGAAGCATTGCTTTATTTACTAAACCATGAGCAATTTATAGCAGTGTAGAAATGATAATTAGATCTTTATGCTCATACCCTTAAATATTTACACTCTCCCTCATTTCCCCCCACCTTGCCCCATTTCAAGTCCCGCCCGAAAACCTCCCTTTTCGACCGCGCTTACGTTCAACTCCCACCCCCAGCTCGGAGTCAGGCTCCGCCATTGTTAAGTGCTCTGAGACGCTACCCTGAGCGGAGGGCGCTAGATAAATGCAAGTTGCTGTACTTTTTTCCGGTAAAGTTGGATTAAGTTTAGACGATCTCGTCGTTCTGCAAGAACGCTTTCCAAAGTACCACAGCTTGCTAAAACATAGAAAAATGAAAATTGGGAAATAAACAAGTCTCAAACAAAATGTCAGTTTCAAAATGAAGAGGAAAAAAAAAAACCCGACTTTTGTGTTAGACCTTGGCCAATTTGAATTTAGGCAATGCAGCAATATTTTTTCTTAAATGTTTTTTAAAAAAAAAATTGCTCTCTAATTTTCATTCTTCCTCTTTTAAATTGCGACTTGAGAGGAATTGGTTCAACATTCTGCCTCTAGTATTCGCCCAAATCTCTCAATCTTGAATCTTGTGTTTCCATGCATGAGCTCAGATAATACGCCCCACCAAGCAATTCAGAGCACTATAAATATACCAAGAAGCGTTCAGAGTTCAAGACAGTGGACAGACCCAGGGTGGTTACACTACTAACATTTCTTGCACTCGCAAGAAACACTCATATTCTTATCGACTCAAACAATAAAGTGCTATTATTAAACTTTAAAAAAGCCTAAAGACTGAGCATTTACATAATTTTAGTTTCAGGTTTCTTTGTTAAATACTAGAGCAGGCCCCAAAGATAGGCACTACAGAAAAATTGCCATCAGACTGTCACCGCACTACAGTGTGAGAGTGCGGTGGCATGTGTCAATGTGAAGGGAATGGGCTCCAGTGATAATAATAATCCTTGTATTCAATATCGGGCCTTATCACGACTTTACAACATCTCAAAGTGATCACAGGATATAGTATAAAGTGTAGTGAGTGTATTTTGTGGGTGAAAAGTGGCAGCACACAGCAGTGTCTCACAAATATGGATTGAGTAACCATAATTTTTTTTTGCTCTGAGGAATTATTATTACACCTGGAAAAGTAATCCACCAATAGACTAACAACCTTTTATGTTTCTCCCATGTAAATAAAAATGTAAAGTAATGGTTTCTCCCAGCAGAATGTTGGGTTAGGACTAGGGTAGAGGGATTAGGAACCAGGAGCAAGATGGAATAGCAAGACAGGAGTATGGTGTGGAAGACGCTGGCATGTAAAGATCTTTCGTTTTCATTTCCTTACACACACCAATACGAATGGGGACTGGCCAAGTACAGTGGAGCCTATCAAGCGGCTGTAGGAAGTGTCAGTGTTACAGTGACAATGCTAAATTCTTGATTGCATTTTTGAAATTACAAGATCTTCCTTCTTTAAAATGTTGCTTGTGGTAAGAAAGAAGTTTGTGAGATCCAAATGGGGCATTTGATGCTCGAAAATAATCTATCAATACAAGAGTTCATTCATAACTAGGTCCTGAATGAGCATTCAGAGATTCACACACCCCAACAACTCCCAATACTAAAAACTCAATTGTTCCAACCAGTTTCTTTACAATTCAAAATAACTCTACTTTTCTAGCATTTGTTTCCTCTCACATTTACATTAAAGAGTTTAATGTCTTTGACCATGCTTTCGGTCACCCTCCCACCCCCACCCTGCCCTCCACCCCGCCTGACCCTAACTCCCAGCTTGGGGCCAAAACATCCTATTGTCCAGCATTCTGGGACATCGTTCTGACGTGAAGAGCGCTATAAAAAGTGTAATTTGTTGTTGTTTAAGAACATGGGAACATAGGAGCAGGAGGAGGCCATTCAGGCCTTCGAGCCTGTTCCGCCATTTAATTAGATCATGGCTGATCAAGAAGAGTGAAAAGCACTTGAAATGATAGTTTCTTACCTAGTTTAATGCTACCATCCTGCATGAGCAGAATATTGCCAGCTTTCAGGTCGCGATGGATGATTTTGTGGTCATGAAGGTAGAGAATGGCTTCCAACATCTGACGGCCAACAACACGGATCTGAGGTTCAGTCAGCCCACGATCCAACTCTGTCAAGAATAACGTCACATAAGAAACAATCCATTGCACTGTTCTTTACCTGAACACATTATATACTCCCCACTTGTCGGCCTCCCCCTCTCCTCCCTCGACAGGCTACAGATCATCCAGAGCTCTGCAGCCCGTGTCCTCTCTCGCACCAGGCTCCGTGACTCTATCACTCCCATCCTCGCCCAGCTGACCATCAAGCTTTTATCAGGCCCTGAGCATTAAGCTTTTATTTATAAAGAACGTCAAGCCCTGAACATCAAGCTTTTATTTATAAAAAGTTTACAGAAGAAACAGACCTACCCAACATTATTGCATCCACTGCACCTCCAGGACAAAACTCAATCATGATCTTTAAGAAAATAAAATAAAAACAAAGTCAGAGAGAGGAATAAGTTTGCTGCTTCACATTGCTGATTGGACATCTGTGTTGAGGAGGGGGTAGTAATGAACATCCATTTGACCAGCAAGTTGCAAGGTTTCCACAGTGAAACCAAGTGTTGGAAAAAAAACTGAACCAATTCCTTTTAGAAAACAAGGCTAGAAGTACAAGGATTTTACAAGTATGGTGGACACTTTACAGCTATATGTGAAAATGTAAAGAAATTTCCAACCCTTTTAGGACTTGCTAAAATCAGCTCCGCTGATTCTCCGCTAGAAGGTAAGACACAAGAGTTGATATTTCATGCACATTTATACAGGATCCCCATGTTCATCTTAATTTAAAAGGAACACTTGGAACAGCTTGCAATTAACTGCTGTAGTGCATACATCTGGCAACCAAGAATGGTGAAGGGCAAGAACTGAGGTGATGAAAAATAACCATGATTTAATAATAATCACTGCATTTGATAAAGCGCCTTATAACATCTTCGAGACGTCTCAAATTGCCTTCTTATCAAGGAGATGCACGCCCTTGTAATATATTAATATTTTAGTGCATCAATTTCAAGCTTTGCTGCATTGTCTTTAATAATAATTTGGATTTGACAAAAATAATTGTTAAATGATTCCTAAAATGCACAACAGATGATGAGCCTCCACAACCCACCACCACCACCAGCCAAGATCCCACTGGGCGGCGGCGAACACTTCATCTCACGTTTTCGCAAAGGAGAAACTAATTGCCCAACATCCTGTTTATCAGCGTGCAGCAGCCTGCTGATTTGTGACTGAAAGTGAAAATACTGTTGCACAGTACAACGTGTGGACAAAGAATGCCTGCCTTACTCCCCATTCCAACTACTATTAAAGAAAATAGCAGACGTCTGTCTGGGTTCCTCAGACAGGCGTATTAAATCCCGACACAAAGGTCACACAATTGGCTCAGTTTACTTGCACCCAACTGAAAAGCACCATGTTCAACACCTGGCCCACTTTCTCAGGGTATTTGCCTGCACTGACATTTACATGCAAGTTGCATCTATTTCTGCAAAGTTTTGCACTGTGTATGACAAACTGGAAAAGGGACATTCTGCAATATTTCTTCTGCCGGTGCTTACCCTGATCTCTGAGCAGCAAAAGTGTTTTAAACCTCAAAATGTGCCATTTTGCACCTGGTTAAGAATATTCTGAAGCTCAAAAATTGTACATCAAATTTGATGCAAAAACATTTAAGCCAATGTCCAATAAACATTGATCCAATGAACAGAATGTATCCTACCGGAATGCAAACATAATGATCTGTATCTACTTGCAATGTGCTTTCAAAAGCTTTTCCAGAACCACTGCTTTTGCGTCCTTACAGAATAAATTATTCCTTCACTAAAAGAATAACTCTAGCAATGTAATCCTCGCTCTGCACAGTACTTCGTCATGAAAAAGCCACATTCGAGACTCTGGAATTGAAAAATAACTGGACATCTTACTCACAGGCTTTGGCAACTTTCAAAACAAAATGCTCTTTGTTTTCTCCAAGTAATTCAGTCACAGAACATTTCTCATTTTTGTCTTTCACTCAAGTCTCTTTAGAAGCCTTTGTGTTCGATTTTGTGATCCCACCCAAATATCCATACTGATCAATGGCACAAACATACTCAACAGCAACTGATTCTCAACAATGACCCCAAATGATGTCACTTCTCCTTAATGTCACTTTCCATGAGGCTTCCGTATGGTATTGGGAGTAACGTCGACTTCAAAGTCGAATTTGTTTGATGCAGGAGAGAGCAAAGAATGATGAGGCAAAAAAAAAAAAGCTAGTTTCTACTCCTGATCCCCCCAACCATCGGTTATCAGGCCTTCAGCCTTTCTACCGCCACCCTCTGGAACTCCATCCCAGAACCCCGTCGCCTTGCCCCCTCGCTTGCCTCTGTCAAGGACAATTTCAAGGCCTTCCTCTTTGATCGTATTTTTAGTCATCCTCCCATCCCCAGCCATCTTTGGCCTCCACCCCTCAATTCCAACCCCTAACTCAGGTGCAAACCCTTGACTATCCATGGCCTTGGGACTGAAACAGTTAAGTGCACAAAGAAAAAGATTTCACTGCTGTGTCAATCTCAGCACTGTGCCAAAAAATTCTATAGCCAAGTTTATTGTTTTCCATCTGTGTGCATTATCAAAAGCTGCCAATGTCGTAATCATATGCTCGATGTTTATGGCCTTATTGTGGAATGCCATTCAGCATTTGTTTACATCACAAACTTATCGGGCGAGTTGTGGATAATTATAGTTAGTGGCCTTCACACTACATGTGAGAAACATTGTTTACTGTATCCACAGGAGTAAAGTTGTTGTCAGGGAGTTTTTGGACCCTGAATCATAGATCCTTGTCTAATCTAAGAGGATACTTTGATGGAACACAGAAATCTCCCACAAAATGAAATCATTTTAACTAAGGGCTTAACCTTCTTTATATTCACCCACAAAATACAGTCAATTCACTTTGCCATATATTCTGTGAAGCGTTTTGAGACGTCTCGAAGATGTGATAAGGCGCTAGATCAAATGCAAGGATTGTTATTATAAAAAGAGAACTCAAAAACCAAGTTTATAAGTAACAAAGCCCCTTGAAGATTAATTCTTGTCTTACTGGGTTTATATTGGGCATTGATCAGAAATATCTCTACCCAAACATTTAGCAACCAGTTACAGTATCACTCACAGACTTCAAAGTAGTCATGTTATGAGTCAGTGTGATGGGACCAGCCTACAATATAGCAGCATTAGGTTCATTACATGTGCCAATAGGTTCCAGAAAGGTTAGACCTGAAGGCAGCCAAACCAGGAGCCCTGCACCACCATTTCACTTATGTCCTTCAAGAACAGAGAAACACTTATTCTTACCCAGAGTTTGTTCTCATAAAAGAAAGCATCCAGAAGTTTAACAATGTATTCATGGTCACAGGAAGCCAGAATGTCAATTTCAACCATGTAATCTTCAAGCTCTTCTTCACTCTTTGTCTCAATAACCTTTGCAGCAGCTAAGACTCCAGTCTCCTTGTTTCTGGCCTGGGGAAAAAAAAAAGCATTATTCAACATTAATGACTAGCAGCTTTCTTTTGATTTACATCTGGACTCTTATTGCATTTACATTGACAATTTCATACTGGATTTATCGTCAGCAAATCCCAGCCACTCAAACAAAGCTTTGCAGCTTTCAGCGCCTTATCACGTCTTAAGAGACGTCTCAAAGCGCTTCACAGGATATACTGTAAAGTGAATTGGTTGTATATTTTGTGGGTGAAACGCAGCAGCCAATTGCACACAGCAGTGTCCCACAAACAGTCTTGGATTGAAGTGACCAAATTTTTTATTATGCAAACTCAACAGCAACATTCTAATTATGAGATCTTTTCAGGGACTAAACACGGGTGGCATTTTAGGCCTGAAATGATGCCAAGTTTGACCTCAATACAACAGCCTTGCAAGAGTTGCTCTGTTTTTTTCAGCAGAGTTTGGATTTTATATAATATCCCGTGTAATGACAGCCGCTGATCAGAGACAACAATTTGTTACATGTGATCAATGTCTCTAAGTGGCCCCTCTGGAAATTGACTAGTTATCAATCGTGGTGCGGTCATTCATTCAGTTTGACCGGTAAAGAAAGTTTCAACCATATCAATCAGAAACTTGCACAATGCGTCTGAGCCAATGTTTATATGGTGCATTTCCTTCCCTTATCCATAACCGTGGATATTATTGCACTCCACGCGATTCCCCCAGAAAACAATGCGAGCATCCGTTCTCACAATTCGCCAGTTGCAATTTGTTTGAAATGGTTAGAAAGTTATTAAAATGATAGAAGTTATTAGAATGGAAGTTGTGTTAGCTGCAAATGTCACACTGATTCTCAGAAAAGTGTCACTGGTTTTAAAAACAGGAAAGGCATTTCTGTAGCAGATTGTGCTAGAGAGAAGAGAAACAATTCACAGTACAAAGCAACTTCCACGCACAGAAGAGATGTATAAGTGATATGAAACTCAAAACAGGCTCTTGATGCCCAAATTAGATGTAGGTAAGTGTTGCTTCCTGACCTGGGTAGGCCCTTAGCACCTCATCTACAGTCGATTTAACAGGATGTATTATTGAGCAATTTGTTGCACAGAAAATTAAAGGTTTTATAAAATCACGCACTGTACGTTATGGTACAGGTGTGAACAAAGGTTCTTCAAAGGTCATATATTTTTCATTGAAATTACCATCAATAAATGAAAGTGCTGCACTTCATCCCCTTTGTAAACAGAACAAGTTGGCACTTTCCTTGAGGTTTACACTTCACAGCCGAACGGGAAGCAAACCAGCCTTATTTTCAGTCAGTCAGTTCAGCAGCTTCCGTTCAACACTTTTAGACAAACCAGAAGGAAACTTGAAGCCCTACCTTAAAACTGCATTGCACACAGACCATATTGGTATAATTAACTGCATATTTTACCTGTAGCTTAACAATGATCTAAGCTGATGGGAACGGTTTGTGTTTAAATAATGGAGATAACTTGCCAACGTTAAAAGCTTGTGGCACTTTACAATAATCTACCTAGAACCACGACAACATTGCCAGTCTCTTCAGTATAAGCATGGGGATAAGCACAAGAACTTTGCCGCTTTTCTGCCAACTCCATGTCCCCTAAACCTTCAAGGTGACAATCTGGGACTTGCCAGCGCCCTTTAATATAGCAGTTTGTTGCAAAAACCAACGAGCGTGAATGTTTTCAGTAGTCGATAAGCTACGCAGCTCCAGTCAAACACACTTATGTCACTGCCACAGGAAGTTCAAAATTGTTTGAACATACACACAGAAATATGTGGTTTATTTAGCATCAAACTGCTCCTAGTCAAAAGTGGTTGCTGTTTCGCATGAAATGTTTACTCATGATTTTAAACTGGAATCTTAACAACGTGGGAAGAGCGGCTTTAGTTATGTTTTACCGAATCCGCAACAGTTACTTTTGGATTGCTGATCAGCACATTAGATCAGCTGGAATCTTACAAGGATGGAACAAGAGAGGAGCAGTATCCTCTTCAATGACCGTGGAATGAACTTGGCAGATTAAATCCTTTGATTATGGGATCAAATGGCAGATTTACATTACTTTGCACGAAATATCTTTTTCTGCCTTTCAACAGAACTATGAAAAATGTTTTGTCTGCTCAGCTCCTGTGTTATCATGATAACAAACTAAGGATCTTCTGCTTTAAAGCTTCTTCCCTGATCTGTTCACACTTCCCTCATCCGACCAACAGCAGAATTGGTGTGGCCACCACCAAATCCGTGGCCCGGGGTGAGGGACAGTCACTGAGAATGAATAAGGAGAATAAGGAGATGAAGAAATAGGGGTGTGAGCTGAGATTAAGTGCGTATCAAATAACGAGGATTATTTCTTCGCACGGAGGGTTTGTGAAAAGAGAAAGTGATGATACTTTTCCCATCTTCCCCTCCCAGCACAGTCTTTCCTCCCCACTCCTGTGCCAATAGTCAAGATGCTGGGAGGTACTGTAGCATTAGCTAACCAAAAATCAGATCAGGCTGTGAAAACACTGCAAATAGACAGGGTAAATAGTTAGGAATTAAAGACATTGATGTAAGTCTTAAAAACATGCACCAGCCCTTTCCTGCCATGATCTCACATGCTTGTACACGCTGCACAAAACCACTCTGTAAAGAGAGCTGCATCTCCCATGATGTCTGGCTACCTTTCATAGACACTCTGGCCAATTGCAGTTGGTGTAACACACAAACCCTTCCTGAAATCATTGAAAATCAGGCAAGCAACTACCAAAGTGATCATAAACAGGACTTCTAACTGAGTAAATTTCTTCAACTTTCTGCATGTTTAAAGAACTCTAGTTCATCCTGACGCTTCTGATCTTCCAGTAATTGGTTTAAGGAATGTTTTGTGTGGATCAACCAACAATAAGCCGAAGGAGCAAGGTCACAAGTTTCATCCTTGATCTGGCCAACGAGCTGAGGTAGAAGCTGCTAGCGTCTTCCATCCTGTTTACATGTGAATTCATTACCTTACTAGAGAAAGGTTCAAAGGAGAAAATGCATTTTTTTGTATTATAAACCCACTTCTATTAAACATCCCCTCTCCCTCCCCCTCCCTCTGCCTCCCCTCCCTCCCCTGGCTCTCCCCTCCTCCTCCCTCTCCCCTCCCTCTGGCTCTCCCTCCCCCTCCTCCCTTGGCTCCCTCCCCTCCCTCTGCTCTCTCTCCCCCTCCCTCTGGCTCTCCCTCCCCCCCTCCTTCTGGCTCTCCCTCTCCCTCCCCTCCCTCTGGCTCTCCCCTCCCTCCTCTGGCTCTCCCTCCCCTCCCTCTGGCTCTCCCCCCCCCTCCTCTGGCTCTCCCTCCCCCTCCCTCCCCTGGCTCTCCCCCCCCTCCCTCTGGCTCTCCCTCCCCCTCCCTCTGGCTCTCCCTCTCCTCCCCTCCCTCTGGCTCTCCCTCCCCCTCCCTCTGGCTCTCCCTCCCCCTCCCCCTCCCTCTGGCTCTCCTCCCCTCCCTCTGGCTCTCCCTCTCTGGCTCTCCTCCTCCCCCTCCCTCTCCCTCCCTCTGGTCTCCCTCCTCTGGCTCTCCCCCTCCTCTGGCTCTCCCTCCCCCTCTGGCTCTCCCTCCTCTGGCTCTCTCCCTCCCTCTCCTCCTCTCCCTCCCCTCCCCTCCCTCTCTCCCCCTCCTCCCCTCCCTCTGGCCTCCTCCCCTCCCCCTCCCTCTGGCTCCCCCTCCTGCTCTCCTCCCCCTCCCTCTGGCTCTCCCTCCCTCTGGCTCCCTCCCTCTGGCTCTCCCTCTCCCTCCCTCTGGCTCTCCCTCTCCCTCCCTCTGGCTCTCCCTCCCTCTCTCTGTGTGTGAGTCTCTCTCTATCTCCCTCTGAGTCTCTCTCTCTCTCTCTCTATCTGTGTCTCTCTCCCCTCTCTCTCTCTGTCTCCCTCCCTCTCTCTGTGTGTGAGTCTCTCTCTCTATCTCCCTCTGTCTCTCTCCCCTCTCTGTGTGTGAGTCTCTCTCTATCTCCCTCCCTCTCCCTCCCTCTCTCTTTGTGTGAGTATCTCTCTCTATCTCCCTCTGAGTCTCTCTCTATCTGCCTCTGAGTCTCTCTCTCTATCTCCATCTGAGTCTCTATCTGTGTCTCTCTCCCCTCTCTCTCTCTCTTTCTCTCTCTCTCTCTCTATCTGTGTCTCTCTCCACCTCTCTCTCTCTCTCTCTCTCCCCCTCTATCTGTGTCTCTCTCCCCCTCTCTCTGCCACTCTACCTCCCTCTGTGTGTGTCTCTCTCTCTGTCTCTCCCTCTCTGTGTCTCTCCCTCTTTCTGTCTCTCTCTCTCTGTCTCTCCCTCTTTCTGTCTCCCTCTCTGTGCCTCACTCCTCTCTGTCTCTCTCTCTCTGTCTCTCCCTCTCTCTCTCTGTCTCTCCCTCTCTGTGCCTCACTCCTCTCTGCGTCTCTCCCTCTCTCTCTCTGTCTCTCCCTCTCTCTGTGTGTGCCTCACTCCTCTCTGTGTCTCTCCCTCTTTCTGTCTCTCCCTCTCTGTGCCTCATCCTCCTGCTCTTCCCTCGTCTCTCCCTCTCTCTGTGCCTCACTCCTCTCTGCGTCTCTCCCTCTCTCTCTGTCTCTCCCTCTCTCTGTGTGTGCCTCACTCCTCTCTGTGTCTCTCCCTCTTTCTGTCTCTCCCTCTCTGTGCCTCACTCCTCTCTGCCTCTCCCACTAACCTCAGCGCTAACTACAACTCCACTTTAAACCCTCATAACCCCTTTCTTTCTCTCTCTCTCTTTCTTCGCCCACGTTTTAATGCCTTCAACCCTATTCCTTATTCCCTTCTCTTCCCCAACTCCTTTCCTTGTGTGTGTGTGGGGGGTGGGCGTTGAGGTGAGGTTGAGGGGGTTATTGACCACGATAAAGCCGATTCATTTTTAAACGTACGTCATTTATTTGTTCGGAATAATTGCCCATCTTTAACGTGAGAAAAGGAATCCACTCCCAAAGCAGAAGTGTGAGTGGCTGTTACTGTTGTTGTTGTTGTTGTTGTACA